GTAATTTTGCTACTGTTATGAATCGGGAGACCCCTGTGAAAGGGTCGTTCGACCCCCAAAGGGGTCGCGACCTATAGGTTGAGATCCACTGCTTTAGAGATATAGGCGTGTGCTTACTTCTTATTTTGCCAAAAGTAAATCAGTTAACTTTTAAGAACACAGCCATGTACAGGAAATCTACAAAGATTAGCATAGGTACAAGTGACGCAGAAGTCAGGGTACTGGTTACCCTGGTGGAGAGGGAGGAGGAATGAGGGGAAGTTTCTAATGTACCATTGCTGGAACTGTCTTTTTGGTTTATTACCCTCTGCCATAGACTGCAAGGCAGTGAGTTGACTGTGAACCTCTTATGCCGGCGTATCAATCAATTTAATTTCTTTAAGGAGACCGGCATGATCTGATGGGAGCGTGTGACCCCCTGTGACGGCCTCTGTGAAGAGAAGGGCGTGGACAACTGTGAGAAGTGAAGGGAGTGATGATGGGCAAGCACTGGCTTGGGGAGTGGTGGGGAAGCCTGGGGCGCTACAAAAGATTCACTGAACTTTCTTTGTGATTTGGGGAGGCGGGGTCTTATGGGAGGGAGGGAAGGGAAGGAAGAGAGGAAGAAAAACAGGGCAGATAAAAAGTATTGGGTTGGTGATACTGGGAGGGTAGAAGGAGAGTGGGTTGGAAAGAGGGAACCGATTATAAGGAACTATATGTGACCTCCTCCCTGTGGGACGGACAACCGAAAAGTAGGTGAAGGACAGGCAAGATATGACAAAATAACAATTTATAACTTATCAAGGGCTCATGAGGAAGGGGAGAGCGGGGAGGGAGGGGGAAAATGAGGACCTAATGCCAGGGGCTTAAGTGGAGAGGAAATGTTTTGAGAATGATGTATTGATGTATGTATGGATTGTGCTAAGAGTTGTATGAGCCCCTAATAAAATGATTTTAAAAAAGTATTGGGTTTGTTAATATAACTAACAGAAGCACTCAAGATAATTCATGATGATTATTACAAACAGCATAAAGCATTTTTATTGTCCCCTCTAATACAGAAGCCCCAAAGCACTGTACAAGTAGTCCGTGAAACTTCTGAACATAATCATATCACAAGACTAAGAAGAAGTCCAGTTATACAGACAGGGAACATGCCGCACCCAAAGGTGAATTATTTGCCATGGTTGATTAAAATTCTGAGTGAGGGGTAAAATGCAAATGAATTCAGAAAGCCACCCCAACCCCAACCCCAGGCAGCCTTAAGCCTTGTTGCATGTGATACATCGGCACTGTTTACATTTCATTTTCCGTGTGACACTTGGCAGCTCCTCGGGGGTGAGAAGCAAGGTTCCGCCAGTCTACTAGGGACACCTTCAGAACTGCCACCGTTAAGTACTCGCGTGACACAGCCTTAGCAGAGAGTTCCGAAAGAGAAGAACTTACCTTAGGACTTCCTCTAACCAGAATGCTCTCTCTTGCCCAGAACTCAACAATGTTCTACTTCCTGTTTGTCAAAAGCATGGCTTTGAAAGTGTTAACAACTTGGCCCTCCGTTTTCATCAAGAGATGTTCCCCAAGACTTCCATCTTTCTATGAGCAACTGGGAGAGTACCTCGTACCCAGCAGGGGGTGCGCAAGGGCGAATTCCTTGAGCCCCTAAAGGAACCATCTCCCGGAGTGTTAATTCTCCATCACTTTCACCAAACCAACAGCAAGATCAGACTTACTATATTTTTTTATTCTTCTGGTGCAGGTAACATGAGACTTCCATAATGATGCATTATGGAGAGAGAGAGAAAGCTTTAAAAAAGCTCCACTGACCATTCAGAGTATAAAGCAAAGGCAATTGTGATGGTTACAAAAAGCAGCAAAACCAAACTGTTAAAAACTGAAACGTGTCAAACTAAAACAGCACAATAAAGTAGCTTTTCAACAGCAGGGATGGTTGGCACACAAAATGTCTTAGGCAATTTATTCCACAAAACAGGAGAGAAGTTGCCATTAGCCGATGTCTTACCTTGAATACTTCCATTGGAAGAGGACACTTTGCAGCATCAATAAGGGATTTTTCCAGAGCACATTTCCACTCAGATGCCATCTTCAAAGGATAGATTTCTGTATCAATAGCAAACCACACACGCATTTAAGGACCAAACTGCTCAGCTGGATCATTCTTTCTTGAATTTTAGCTCCCCAGGCTTTCATAGGATCTCCACACACTCAGCAACTATGCCCACCAGAGAGGGCCATCTGCTAAAGGGAGTTTTTCCTGAAATGAAAGAGCAACCTGGGATCCCGCTAGCAGAAATGCAGAATTCATTTACATAGGGTTCTTCTTCAGGGACTGTTTGCGCACAGTCCGCTGGTAGGCTGTAATTGAATGGTATTAATCAAATTAAGCAAGACCTTCCATAAACCAGTGCCCCAAAGTCCACACATCACCTAGGAAGTAATATCTACTGATGGAAAACTTATTACCTGGTAAATTCCTACACTCGAAATGACTCTTGTCTGGCATTTATAGTTATTAGAGCATATTTTTCACTAACCCTCTAAGCTCTCATTCGCTAAAAATAGCCCATGTAAGTCATAAAATTATTAAAAGGTAAATTAAAATTTACCAACCAACTTTAATATTTACACTTGAAATGTTGCTAGCACACTACATGTTGCCCATATTTCCCCCCCAGGCAGAGGGGGGAGGGAGGGACTGACGACTGGAGGTGAAGCTGCCCGAATGCAAAGTTAAAAGAAACACCGCAGAGCGCTGCTTTTACCGATTGCTGCCAATGCAGGCGGGGTTTATGGGCTGGTCTCAACAGATTTAAGACCTTATCAAAATAGGATTTGCAGAAGCACTCACTGCAAGTAGATATGTTTATACCTTCACTCTATCAACCCAGAATACTTCAGACAGACAGTTAAGATAGGAATATGAATTTAAGCACAGTTAAAAGGCAACATTAAACCTTTGGGCTATATTTTTAATTTCTTGCACGTCTAGTTTTTAGTAAGCGGCCACATATTTGAATCCTTATGGCTTTTGAACTCACCTTGAGTATTAAGTACCTATTAGGAGATAGGTGTTTGATGTGTGTGTGTGTGTGTGTGTGTGTGTGTGTGTGTGTGTGAGAGAGAGAGAGAGAGAGAGAGAGACACGTCTTTTCAGGTCATTACTGAGCCCTGGTAGTACAACGGCTAAGTACTCAGGTACTAACCAGAAGGTACACAGTTCAAACCCACAAGCCGCTCAGAGGGAGAAAACAGCTTGGATCAGCTCCCATAAAGAGGCTCAAAACCAAACAAATTCATAGCTGTTGAGTGACTTTGGGCTCAGCACATCCCTGCGCAGCCTAGAAAGTCCTATCTGGCAGTTCTACTCTGGTCTGTCGGGTTGATGTGGGTTGGCATCAGCTCTACGGCACACAACACGGTGTGGCCAAATTGACCCCAGACATCAGAGTAGCACCCACCGTCCATGCACAAAGAGGCAAAGTGACCTAGAGTGGTGTTCATTTAGCACTGCCCTTGACTAGAGGGCGTTGTCTATCACCCTTTGTAGCACTTCATTGATTCTCGTCTTCCCTTAAGGATTCCCACTGCCCCAATTCGGCATGTCTGGTCAGAACAGAAACAGAATGGTTCTCTCCCTCGTCATGTGCCATCTATTTTGAGCCACGTGCCACAAACCAAACCCACTGCCATCAAGTCGGGTCTGAGTCACAGGAACCCTGTGGGACCTGGGAGAACGGCCCAATGGGTTTTCAAGCTTTCCACAAGCAGATGCTGGCACTCTCTCCGCTGGAGTGGCTACAGGTTGAAATCGTCAATCTTTTGTTTAGCATGGAAGTGATTAAGCACTTCAACACCAGGCATCCTTTTGAGGCACATTAATAATAATAATACAAAACACTGCCAACGAGTTGGTTCTGACTCACGGGGTGGGGCGCTAAAGAGACACCCATGCTAAACTGAATGGCTCCTTTTATCCCTGGGCCTCAGAGGATGGCACGAAGGGACAAATTGCTTATTATTGGGTCCCACAAAGTAGGACAGCGCTCGGTGCACTGTCCCAGGAGGGCAAGACGGATACCCTAGAATTCCCTCGCAGTTCAGCTCCCTGGACACTGCGGAGAAATCCTAGTCAGGGGAGGGCAATTCTGAAGACTCTTAGAGACACCACTGGGAGGACAACAGCCACCACAGTCCCAGAGGGGCTCAGGAGAAAAGGTCAACACAACAGACTCAGCTTCCTGAGTGGCCCGAACAAACTCACACCCCAGAGATCTGGAAGGAGGTGGGCAGGGACAGCAACTCCCAAGGGTGGAAGAACAGACCCATGAAAAAGGATGGAGATTTCCAAATTCAAGACCAAAGGATTAAAGACATCAAGGTCAGGAAAGGGGGCAAGTGCCTGCCTGGCTGGTGCCTGTAAGTGCCCTCACTGTGCATCCTTGAATATGGTCTCTGGATGCCCTGATGACAAAGAAGTGGCTACATGGCTGTTTTAGAAGAGGAGAAATCAGCCAGTCGAAGCCAAATCAGTTGTCACTCAGTCCATTCAAACTGCAGGTGACCCAGAAATGCTGAGCAGAACTGCACGTCATAGGGTTTTCGAAGCTGTGGCTTTCCCTCCAAGATGCCTCTGTGCATTGTGTTCAAAGCATGAATGCTTCCGTGTCTAGCTGAGTTTCACCTGAGGATCCTCGTCAAGGCCAGCAGCAATGAGACCCCAACATGGCCAGGATTAGGCTGGACTATCCTAACTCAGGGGCTGTGCAGGCTCCAGCAGGGCATCTTACAGGCCTCCCTGACTGTACTTTCACTCGCCTGGGCAAAGCAGGGCTGCACCAGCCACGTCATCCTCAGGAAGCTGACCCCTCAGTCTACGACACCACCTGTCTCTCATCAAACTCGAGATTGCTGGACTAACTGGCCCAGGGTCCAGGTGCCTTCGCCTCCTGTCATACAACCTTAATGCTCTTTGTCTTCTTTCTAAAAACATTACATTCTCAACTGGAATTTAACTTCCAGGCAAGGCATCCTTTGCTTAAAAGGTGAAAATGAATGGCCGTTTTATCTGTATGCTCAACCACCTGCAAAAAGCTAAACATCTAATGGTTTCGGTAAGCAGAGAACAATGTTCCATGTGTGCATTTCATTAGACAGAGGCACTCTGGTTACCCTGGCAAGTTCATGGACAGTGAACAGCACCATTAAAAGAGCATAAAACATTTTCTTAAAATGATCCTATTTGCAGGTAATTTAATAGAGTGCATCACATCAGTTTCTGTTTGTGGGAAGGCAATGAGCAATTAAAATGTGTCCGGGTTCATCTTCAACTAGGTGCCTACATGAACGTGAGATGATCTCTTAGTGCTAGGCAGGCCGTTTCACAGTTGGTGCTTCGGGGAGCGGAGTGCGGACAATCAGATTCGCCAGGACGTGGCTACTCAGACTCCTGGAGGGCTAAGACATTCTTTTACCGCCCAGCCCTCACCACTCCCTTCCTCAACCAGGCTTCTGAGCAGTGAGGAAATATGACCCTCAGCTTTCAGGATCTAGTTTAACTGACTTTGAAAGGCAGCAAACCTTTTTGACTTTAGGAGGAGGAGGAGCCTGTAAGTTAAGATTCAGAAACATCCTAAGTCTAGGAAGGAGGGGGGAAAAAACAAAACAAAGCAAAGAGTGGAGAAGAGGATTTAGAAGGATGTGTGTGTGCGTGCATGCAAGAGAGAGAGAGAGAGAGAGAGTATCTAGAAATAGGGACCAAAAACTTCAAACAGTTTCACCTTCTACAAGAATATGCAAAACTTATTTGCTTTCTAAAGCTCCAGAAATATGAAAGTGAATAAGGTTCCCTAAATGACCGAAGAGGAGCCTTGGTGGCATAGTGGGATATGTGTTGGGCTGATAACCACAAGGTCAACAGTTCAAAACCACCAGCCGCTCCTCGGTAAAACAAAGGACAAGCAGAGTAAGTTCGTAGAACATAAAGTACTAGAGTGGATGGATAAATGGATAGTTAGAAATTGCAAATATGTGTTCATACTTGACTAAAAACAGCTAGATGTTTCTCATGAACACCAGTGCTTGCCTCAGAAGTTTTAACACTTTCTCTGCCTACTTTCCCATTATAGTTAAACCTTCAAAAGCCAGAACTAGGATAATGGGACACTTGTGCAAGAAGGAAATATTTTTCAAATTTTTTAACTAAAATAAGCAATAGAAAAATGGCAAGACTGGACCCTGCCAAGCGGGAAAACGCCTTGTCAAGTGCTTGGTCTCTCAAGGTCACTGTACCACAATTAGTTTTTGTCATTATCTGTTGTTGTGATTTGATTCTGGTTCATAGCAACTCCATGTGACAAAGTAAAAATGTCCCAAAAGGTTTTCTAGGCTATAATATTTACAGGACACATCATCAAGTGTTTCTCCTGCAGAGCAGCTCTGGTGGGTGTGACCGACCAAGCACTACCCAGTGCACACCAACCTTAGGAATTGAGAAATACTAAGATTTCTAAAAAGTGAAAAGAGTAAGGCAGACTGAAGTGCAATTATTTTTAACAGTGTTGGTGACGCTGGAGATGTTCAGCTAGGACACTGAAATCGGGGAGAAACTGGCAAGGCCTTACCCTCCTATCATAGCCAGGGTATCCACACTCTTCCCGCCAGTACAACACTTCGGAACTCGCTGCTCACTTCCAGTAAGGGGTGAGTGCTTCTCCTGTGCTCAGTGATACTTGGGTCTCCCAGAGTATGCCTAGTGTTTTGGATGCAAGGCTGTAATTTTATTTCTACCTATATGAGGTGGGCTTCATGAAGTCCATGGAAAACGGAATCAAAATAGAGCGCAAGTTTTCCCATGAACTTTTTGAAGCATCCATGTATTGGTCGAGGAAGTAGTGTTGCACTACGTAAGTCTTAACACTAATTTGTTCCCAAGTGTGAAACATGGGTAATAATGGCCTCCTGGGGATATTGTTCTTCCTAATGAGGCGACAGATTCATACCAGTGTTCCATCCTGGAACTACTCTATTTTAAAACATCCAAGTTCATTGGACTGTCCTCTTGCCTCCCGTGTTCTTCTCCTCATATGCTACATTTATTGCCAGCCACTGGCACCACGAATCCATTCTGGCTCACATGCTGGGTTGCTAATCTCAAGGTCAGCAGCTCAAACCCATCAGCCACTCAAAAGGAGAAAGGTGAGGCTGTCTGCTCCTGGAAAGATGTACAGCCTTGGAAACCTGAAGGGGGAGTTCCATCCTGTCCTAGAGATAGTCGCTAGGAGCAACTCTAATGTTGGGGGAAGAGCCTTCTGATGATGAATACCTCTGCCGAAGGCTTGCGAGAGGCCCGTGAACGTCTCAGTAAAACTGAGCAGCTCGTGTCCAGAAAATTAATACAGCCTGTGAGCACGATTTACACTTCTATGCTAAAGATGTCAGGTTATCTAAAAGAAGAACTAGGGATCCAAACATGAGTATTTCCTATGAGTCTACAGCGACCCTTTCTGCCCTCACTTTTCAAGGCAACCCCGTGATTTCACAGTAAAGAAGGATTACAGAGTGCCAAAGAAACTGCTAGTGGGCCTGTGTCTTGCTATAAATTTTTATACTGCCGAGTGGAGGTTTCTCCAGAGCAATTAGATACTAAGGTGAGATTTAGAGACCCAGCTTTCTGCACAAAGTGAGGGTTTCCTACTAGGTGATGAATCCCAAGACAAATCTGAGCTCAGATTGTTTTCCTACCCTACTGACAAGCCCCTTCGGTTGTCATTATCACCCCAAATTACTCAGTCTATACATGGATTTCTTGGCTGCTTTTCAAACCCTTGACAACAATTAATACTAGTAAAATACCATGTTGCATGTCTCTACTACTGTCAAATTTAACACAAATGCAAACACATGGGATATAGAACCAGAGAGTTTGTTTGTTGCATGGCTTGTTGAAGTCAGTAAAAATCCAACATTGTGTTGGCTTCCCTTAAAAGGTTGCTAAAACCAGTGAGAAGCAGCAGTGGGCATGAGGTGGAGACTTGGGAATCTGAATCTGAACAGTTCCTTAACAAAACAGATGACTTTAGGCAAGTGGCTTAACTCCATTCTCAACTTTGTCTGCTGTAAAATAAAATATATTCACACCAAACACCCCGCATTTCTGTGGAATCAAAATAACTAGCACAGCAGAAGTAAAATCCCGTGGCACATAGCAAACACTCGTGGGGAGGGGGGGATGGTTATTTTGTCAACACGGAGATCTTTTTGCCCAATTTGGTATGTGAGAAGCATCACAAGCACTCTTCTACCCAATTAAGCCTGTGGAGAGTCATTTGATGGTCTATTTGAAGCTATGAAATCTGTGATGTGCCAGGACATTACTTTTCACCCCCTGTATTGTTTAATGGTCAGAACAGTTCATTGTTGGATGGGTAGATGAATCTTCTGGAACATACTTGCAAGACCCTGAAAATCTCCACAGAGAAAAAAACAGAGAACATTGCCGAATCACAATCTCTTGCATCTTTCCTTTCTGAACCAGGGATTCCCAAGGATCACGATCACCTTTGGAGCAGCCTACGACAAGACTTCTTTAAAGTATGATTGACTGAAGCGTTGACGTTTCATCTCTAGAGAAAGCATTCTGATGTTGACATTCACTTAAAATGCACAGATTCAAATGTAGAAGGTAACGGAACAATTCCACTTTCCAGAAACACACACATGGAGTTATTAACATCTTTTGCTAAAACACTTTTAGCATGGCAAAAGCTTCAACCCTTACCGGAAGGTGGGTCCATTCTGTATTTATTCTCTTGACACCAACCAACTGGTCGAAGTCTGTAATCCAAGTAAAACAACCACTGGTCATAGGATTCAGTGTCCTCCAATCCCACATAGCGAAGGCGTAATCTTCCTCCAACATTTTCAATCACACTAACTATCCAGTACTGAAAAGGGTTCTGAGAATCCTGAAGTTCTATTAAGGAATCAACTGTAATGAGGTCTATAGGGCCTTTCCCTCGCAGAGGCTGTTTAAACAGAAGCAAAACTCCTTATTTTAAACTTTATTTTAAGGTTCTCATGGAAACAGATGACAGCAGAAGATAATATTTTTTCACACTATCATCCAAGCTATTGGCAAACAGTCTGGTGTTTCCCTCCACCCCCATCCTCTCAACAGCATTACCCTCTCCTCCCCCCGCCCCCACACACACACTTTCATTTCACCCAATTCTGCACCCAACAACAAAAATCACACGTAAATAGAAAATAACAGTTTGTGCTAATTTCTCACCAAACAACCACACTTCCCAGATAAAACTGCATTTGTTAGAAATTACTATGCTTTTAAGAAGCATCCTACCCAAATTTCCCTATGGCGAGAAAACGTGTAGTTGCAAAATGTCTATTTTCCCAATAGATAATATTTAAAATGAAGCTATAAAATTGTACCGTGACTCATCAGCAGACATTGATCTTAAGATGGTCACTAGCCTAATGCCTAAAGCTCTCTCATACTCTGATTATGAGTAGAGTGTGAAGATACAGATCATTGACTTGTCTAATACACACGCATAATACGCTAAACTGTACCATTAGGTACAGTTATGTTTACACGTATCCTGATGGTTAGCAGATTTAGAGAATGTGGAATTACTACTCCATCTAAGACACTGCTTTAGCACATGTTAGAATATGAAAAGGATGTTTGTGCAACCAGTCCTATAGGCAAATACGTTTTTAACTTTTTAAACTAGCATAATCCAATGTTTTCCATAAACAAGGTGAACAATCATTTTGATTTGTTAACCAAACAATAAATATAACAGACATTAAGATTCCAAAAACAAATGCAGCAGACAAAACTTTCATGAAACAAAATCCAGTTAGCTATGAATTAGACAGTAGTACTCTAAAATATATATAAAGTATATGAATATCTATATATGCATTTATGAAAAGGAAAGATTAGAGAATTGCGATACACTCAAAATCCATTATATTCTTTGTTCTTGTCTGTTTTCTTTTTTTTAGAGCATCCTTAAAATAGACCTGACAGTTCAAGAATTACTTCTGACACAGTACATGTTTCTCCTCCTTGTTCTAATATACGAAGGTTCAATCTTTTAGCTTCATTTTTCCAGACTTTCTGAAGCATCCTCATATATAGTAAATATATATAGTAAATATTTTTGATGCTTCACCATAAGATTATTTTTCAATGAACCATCATGGTTTCAGATTTAACTATTTTCATTTCAGCATCATAGAATTCACTTAAACACATTTAAATATGGTTAGCCATTTTTCCTCTTATTTTTACAAAGCAGGCTAACTGAATTATTAGTTAACCCACATGATTCAAATTTGGAGGTGGTCCATCTGAAATGGAGTATTTAATAGAACCATTTGTCACAACAATCCAAGAGATGATATCAGAGTATACACGGGATTGCTTGGCTGTCATCTGTACAAATCAGCCATTTTACAGAAGTTTATTTACAGTGACAAATATAGTACCAAGACTTAAATGTATAGAAGATTGGGAAAACATCCTAAGATAGTATGATATTAAACTGTGCTCACACAGAAGCATGTTTTCCATTTGCTGATTGTACCACAGAAGAACAATTTTCAAGGTTGTTAGGATCAGTAACCTAAGTAATTCAGGAAAGAATAGAATAGGTAATTAAACAGTTAGGATATGACTATCCATGTGCTCGCATGGTATCTGCAGAAGGATATATGCATAAAGGCTGCTCAGAGTGAGCTCATGTAACTGTGATGCTTCAGAGACATATATATATAGCTGTGTAACAGTAATACATACACCTTCCAGTAAGTTGGCGGGTGCTGTCCGTGAACCAGTCAAATCCCGAATAAGAAATTCTGTCCAGTCTGTGTATTTCTCTTTGATTGCTGGTGAGACAAGGAGGAAAAGCACAATTCAACAAGTCTGCAAAACGCTGAATAAATGTAAATCATAGCACTTTTCTAAATATGTGTTATTCCAGCTTTTTGCTTGTTTGTTTAAATCTAAGCACAGTGCTCAAGTAAGGACCAAAATTGAGGCAATGAATCTATCAATGAGCAGTAACTTGATACCTACCAAATACCTAGATTTTGCTGGTCATCAAGCAGATTAAAGAATAAATATGTTATTTACTTAGAAACTTGCTTCTTATGGCTAATAACTAAAGGGTGGAAGGAAAGGAGGGAAGGAGGAGGGAAAGGAAAGGAAGGAAGGAAGAAAGAAAAGAAGGAATGGATGAATTATAGAGCATATCATTCAGGAGGTACAAGAAGAGGACAAGAAAAACGAGATAAAGTTTTAAACCAGGTCTTTGACTATAAAAATGTAAACCGGCAAGGATAGGAGGAGCGTCGTAGAAGGAAGGAAGGAAGGAAGGAAGAAAGAAAAGAAGGAATGGATGAATTATAGAGCATATCATTCAGGAGGTACAAGAAGAGGACAAGAAAAATGAGATAAAGTTTTAAACCAGGTCTTTGACTATAAAAATGTAAACCGGCAATGATGGGATTCTCAGACTGGCCCAGGGGAGGGGAGGGTGTAGTGGGAGGAGTAGTATATACTCTGAAAGCGATGTGGTGAGGGAGGGGATGGAGATCAGCCAGTCCAAGCTCGGTTTGAGCTGTAGAGCACTAGGAAGCAATAAAACGAGTCTAGAAAGTCAACAGGAATTTCAGGGAGCAGGGTATTCATGCAGAAATAGATCAGGCAATCTTAGGAAGGCTTGAATGGAATTGAGAGTCTATAGGTGGGAAAACCGAGGAAGAAACTTACAGCCATCTAAGTACAAAGTGACAAGGCCCAGAGTGGTGACAGCAGGGTGAACAAGGAAGGGTGCCCGAAGGGGCTTCAAAAAGTTCATGGGAAATTCCATTATTTTTAAACTCCATTTCCCCCCATGAACTTTCAAAAGTACTCTTGTCTTTGACATAACTTTTGAAAAAGGAATATTGAACTTGGAAAGTCAACATTCCATAAGTGATTTGGAACCACAAACCCCACCAACCATCAGAGCGAGAGAAAACTCAAGAGACTGAGCATCAAGCAGGCAGGGCTGACGAGGGGAACTTTCCATACGAAGCACTGTCCAGTCCCTATCCTGCTTACAACGATTTATTCCGTCTTCCTCTTTCCTTCCGAGATTTCTTTACTCAAAGAAAACATCACCTTCCTTATTTCAGACAAACAGACTTACATGGAAATATACATTAGGCAAAAATTGTGTCCTTTTCCATCATCAGCGAAGCATTTTTCAATGATGTCAACTATTTAGAAATTCCCCTACTTCATTGCTGAAGTAACTGAGAAGACCAAGAACATGAACAAGAAAGATATTAATTCATTAAAAAGTATATGTGTTGCATGTTTTACAAAAGTCCTTTTGTTTATTTTATAGTTTTTGGAGCTCCTAAAAATGCTATCAGCTGGCTATTCTTAACTAACTTTTGTCCAAGTGCATAGAGAAAAAAATGACATGCCAAACCTTAAACCCAAGTATGTTGATTTCAGTCCTACAAAGAGGCTCTCCCTTATGACCTATGACTTTCAAAAGCTTTTCCCTACACCTG